GGAAAGAACTTGTGTTCTGGGCAGAGCACGTAGTAATGGGACTCATGGCAGGTGGTGAACTGCTGTTTGAGAATCAGATTGGCTTGGGAATGAGGAATCAGATTGGCTTGGGAATGAGTAGAAAGACTGCTACCAGGAACTTGCACAAAGATTTTTATTTTACTTTTTAAAGAGAAAAACTAAAACAGAATTTCAAAGCAAGATAATAGGACAATGGTTAATACATTGTGTATTAATATAAAATTTATATGTTAAAACCACACTTGCTGCTGTATGGAGAATGGTTTGGAGAAGGGAAAATGTTCAAAGTGGTATGGGTAGGCCAGTTAAGTGGTATTTGTGATTCTGTATTAACACTATTCCTGTCAAATCTCTTGATCTGTCAGTAAAAAGTAACGTTTTTATCATTGATTTGATTTGCATTTCTTTAGTTGTAAATTGAGACACATTTTCCTGGAATTTATTCAGGTATAATTTGTTTTGCTGCCCCACAGTTCCAGAGGCTTGACGTCCAAAATCAAGGTGTCATCGAGCCGCACTCCCTGTGAAACCTGCAGGGAGGAATCCCCCTCAGCTGCTGTGGGGGCTGTCGATCCTTGTTCCTTGGGCTGTAGCTGCCTTTCTCGGGTTTCTGTCTGTGTCATCACACAGTGTTCTGCCTCCACATGGTATTTCCTCTTGTAAGAACCCAGTTACGTCAGAGTAGGGTCCACCCTAATGACCTCATCCTCACTTGGTTATGTACGTAAGGGCCCTGTTTCCAAATAAAGTCACATTCACAGATGACCTAGGACCTCACCACATCTCTGGGGAGTGTAACCTGTCACACCAGTGCTCTGGGGCTTTTTGCTGTTGTTGTTTTCTAACATCTATTGCCATTTTTCACTGGTGTATTTATTTACTGCTCTGGAATGTCAGAGACTACAATATAATTTTTTTCTATTTTAACTTTAATTCCCATTTCATTTTGCTTACTTCCTCCATCATTTCTCCTTAGCCCTGTCTGCTTTCAGCAGTGTCTATCCTTTTTTGTCTGTTGTGTGACCTTTCTTTCTTTCCTTTTTTTTTTTTTTTTTTGTGGTGGGGGATCGAACTCAGGACCTTGCACTTGGCAAGACTCTGACCTTTCTTGTTGTAGGGCTTTT